GTCCCTGGCCACTTGCCGAAAGTGGAAGCGGAGAGTCTTCGACTCTCCTCTCCCTCTGCCGCTATGGCCACTCTCTCTTTCTACCCTCTTCTCCTCGTTTACACATCACGAGAGGAAATAGCCTTCCCCTGGCAGTGGGATAATACTGCCACGGCACCGGCCTCTGTCTCCGACAGTAGCCAGTGTCCTGATTGGCGTCGACGGAGAGACTTCTTTCTTTCTTTCTTTCTCTCTTTCGTTCTTAATTTTATCCTCTCTTCCGTTTGCCTGTCCGTCTTTCTTTCGTGCTATTTTTGTGTAAATCTGCCCACACAAGAATGCCAGGGCTCACCCTGGTGCCTAAGCGCTCACCAAAAGGCCGGTGCTGTATCGTACCGGTTTTTCGTCCGCCTTGCTCAAGTAGTTGGGATCTGCACCCTCTCGCGCGATCGTACCGGCTCACGTGGCTCGACCCAACGGGAGGAAAAAATCTCTGGACGGAATGCTCTGCGTTGTCTGCCTCCGCCGCGGCAACGGCAGCGCGTGTGTCGGCAAGGAGCAGCCGAAGGAGTCCAGCTACCCCTGCAGGGAGTGCCGCAAAACGCGAGCCGTACGTTCGGGATGTCAGGGGGGCTAGGAAGGGTTTAACACGTGCCATTTTGTGAGGAAATGCAAAGTACGAGAACAATGCCTGTTCTTCGTTCAATAAATCTTCTTATGGTGGTAGGATGGATAAAACCGTATTTCTTACAGTGTGTGCGTGGGTTGCGAGGTGTGTTCACCGGACGCGAGATTTGTTCCTTTCGTACGATTCGGATGGGTGTGTGGCGGGGTGTTGTGGATGGCCAGTCGAGCACCACTGTTCCTTGCACAGCGAGTTTCCACCTTGCACAGCGAGTTTCCAGCTGCTGTCTGACCGTCTGTGCAATGGCTCGCTCGCTCGCTTCTTGGCTACTCCTCCTGCACTGGCTGGGCAGGTCTTGGCTACACGAATAGTCTAGGCTTGGTATGATTCTGTGAGTTCCGGGGATGCCTCCGTGCCACGCATTGGGCCTCCTGCGCATGGCTACCGGTGCTTGAGCGATACGACAGGTATAGCAGTACTTACTGTATGAATAGGTCCCAAGTAACCGGGTCCTCTTCTTTTTTTTTTTTTCCTGCGGTGCATCTCGTATGCTGATCCTGGGTCGTGTGGTAACTGCTGTTACGGTGGTGCGCGCAGAAGAGTCGGAGGAACACAGGAAGGAGAAGCTGAGAAGCTGCTGTTGGTGGTGTGGGTGAACGGGGGACGGCAAGCATGAGGAGGCGTGACCGCACCGAATCTACTCTGTATGTATCGCTGGCAAAGACCAAGACCGGCGGTGGAGCAGCAGCAGGTAGGCACGGCGACACGCTACAACTACTGTAACTACAGCACGTAGGGTAAACTGTGCAAACTGCCATGCTTCCCATCCCTGCCATTCCTGGCGGCATCTAGACTAATCGTGACTACTACTGTTTACAATATTACCACGCTGTTGTAGTTCTTTCATGGCTCTCTTATGGTGTACCCTGTCCACATGGGCGAAGAGTGCGGCCGCCTCATGCATCATCGATCGTTCAGATGTTATTCGTGTTGTCGCCCCCTACAACCTAAGTCTAGACTAGATTGTCGATCGCCATTTCGATACGCAGACGAGAATGGTCCTGGGGTGAAGCCAGCAAGCCTGAAGAACTACCGGTTGGTGTATCTCGCTGTACTTATCGCCGACTGCACGTACGCATGAAATGCATAGAAACACGTTTTTTGCAAGAGCTCCAGAGGAAGAACAGACACGAACGGTAAAGTCTATCCACCAATTCCTTTCATGGTCCTCGGGTGTACCAAGCCGTGTTGGCGCTAAAGCGCTGTTGATTCGTTTTTCGTCTCACTCTTAAATGTTGGAGAGAGGAATTGGCATGCAGATGGGTCACGTACAGCCACTTTTCCTGGAGATGCGCACATTTGGTGTTGACATGTTGGAGGTAGACACATGGGGCGGTTTGGGGCGACTACTTGCGCGGAGACTGGCGATGGAGGTACAACTGCGCGAAGATTGTCCCTCGAGAGTGCAAACAAGGCCTGCAAGCAATGAAAAAAACAACAAAATGGCAGCTTCAGTCGCGATACCAAATAATTTTTTCAGTTTTCACGCAATTCAAGGCATGAAAATTGCTTGCGGACAGAGAATATGATGACTGTCCTGAGGTATCCTGCTGAATTCGTGGCCAGTCAGGTATCATGGTGAATTCGTGACAAGTCCAGGTAGGTATTTTCTGCACGATGAGCCGGCGGTAGCTAAAGACATGGCCCAAGATGGGCTCGACGCATGTGTTTCTCCCTTCTGTCGGGCATCTATTTAGTGTTGTTGCAGTCGAGACATGGCCTTGGCCCTTTCTGAAGTCAATTTGTTCAGGATCCCGAAACCCCTCTTCGGACCTACGCCAGTACTACTCTCCTGCAAGACGAACGGTGCATCCTCTGCTCTGTTGCCTCACTCTGCCGTTTCCACTGTTTTTTTTATTCTTGAGCAGACAGCGTTCCCAAGACCAGTGATGGCCGGGGACGGCCGGGGACGGCCGGGATACGGCGGGGTGGGGACAAGGGGACAAGCAAGAAGCATGCTCCCCGAACAAAGCGGCGGCGGGTGAATACTTCTGCGAGGGAAGACGCGGCCCTGATCAAGCAGACCGAAGATCTACGAAGATCTACGAGAAAAGCTTCTAAGGTGATGCACACACTTACATTCTGGGACTGCTGCTTGTTTTCCTCCTTGCGCACGACTGCGGCGGGCGTGTGGAGTACTTAGAAGCAGCCGTGGCTGTCAGCAGGCCAAGCGATGTTTTTCCGCGCGTGCGCCCGACGTGAGCACGCGGAAGTCCAAATATTTTGTCTTCGTCATGACTACTGTTAATACGGTCTTTGTTCTGCATGTGTGTAGCGGCAATCAATGCAGACAATCACGTCTGTTCATCGTTGGGTGCGACAGTTCGTCTCGGTTGTGCAGTAGGTACGCTGGAGTTTTGCATCGTCACGTATCGCCGGCCTTTCTCGCTTGCTTTTTCGGATGGTTGCTTCTTGTCTTCGGTGCCTTTCCCGTTTTTCCTGTTTCAGTACATGGATGTATGATGGGTATCGACGAGAGTAGAAGGCAGGCGGGGCACACGTGTCGTAAATAATTCTCCCAGAATTCCAGGAACTCTTCCGATTATCTGTGCTACTCAGAAAGCATATTTTTTTTTGTCCTGTGGTGATCTTGGTGATTTTCACACGTCTTACGCATATGAATGGTGGTTTTCTTTGCTCGCTCCCCTATACCCGTTGCCCCACACTAGGCACACGCGTGAGAAGGAACGGACGCTCACGATGGCGGACTCCAAGAAAATTAGCGGTGGTGGTTGAATCGGCCGTCCGGTCGTTTTGGAAGTCGTCTGTGTTTTTCTGTCTGTTGACGTCCATCGCGCGCATCCGAATCCCACTCCGTAGCCATGTGTAACCGCCAAGTGATTCGCGACCTGGTGATACCCCACTCTCCAAGCTTGTCCACCTTCGACGTGACAGGGAGGTACGCCTTATTCTCTCTACGAGTAGCATACCCACCTTTGGCATCTCCGAATTACATAAGGGTTTCACTGGCGACGAGCCCGGGCCGGCCGGTGTGTGGAACCATTTCCGAGCCGATTAGCGCCGCGGTTTTCGGGATCTGTGCTGCGTTGTGTACTGTAAAAATGAAGGCTGGTACAGGGCCGGAGAGATCGCCCCCCGGTGCTAAAGCCAGCATGAAATTGTTTAATTGGGTTTTCGCTAAGGGGCCGGGAAGCACGACATTAGTTTCAATTCGATTTTCGCACGAGGGCCGGAGAGATGGCGCACGGGGACGCGGAGAGAGGGATCGCACCCCTGCGAAAAAAAACGCCCGTTTGAAATATTGCATTCATAGGTCGATCGCACAGCTGTGGCGACCTTCGCGGCCTTACGGTAGTTGGCTGTGCGCCCAAGTCTCGCTACAGATTTGGAAGTGTTCCATTTGCCTGAATAATTCTGTTGTGACACATACGTCTATCGTGAGTGCTGATGCCGTCGATAAACCCGCATCCCGTACTAATGTTTCACCCCATCCGACACGGGCGAGAAAACAGCACCGTGTTTCTCGCTTCGAAGCAAGACCTTCTATTCTCTATTTCAAGGACCGGCTTCAGCTGAGCTTCTCCCCGGTCGACGTCAACTGAGTGCCGTGGCCAAGCGGCCAAGCACCTCCTCTTTACCACTCACACCCTATCTTCAGGCCGTAACTAACACTGCTACTGCAAAAGCAATCTCAGCGCATCTGACCTGTAGGGCACTCTAGCAAGTGGGTTCTAAGCCCTGGAGCACCAACTAACGAGTCCGCTTAGCTTAGCGGTGGCGGATCAACGGTGACCTCCGCGCGATTTCTGTCAACACGAAACGGCGGTAGATGGTTCTGCCGTCTAGTCTAGACCCCGTATGGTTTGGGGCGCGACGTTCTCACTCCAAAACCCGAGTACCCGGAAAAAGAAACGTGTGCGTGATGCAGTTTGGAAAGACCGACAACAGAAACACACGCTCCTATCGTACCCGGCAGGCGCCCCGCGCGCGCTAGTGCTATGTCACGAACACCACGCCGCCAACAACGCGCGCAACAAGCGTTCGCGCCACAGCAGTCATGCTCACCCCCGGAGCTATCACGTACATAGCACGAAACGTGATGCGCGTCCCCGTCTAAATACACAAAAAGAAACGTGTCAATGGAGCCAGCTGGCAAGATCGATTTCATACGGTGTGCTCTCCGTGATCTGATCCGACATCATTTTGTTATCGCACTCACAACAGAAAGAAACATGCAGCAAAAAAAAAAAAAAACTGTAAAAACATCGCTCGCCGTCTACCGAAACCGCCGCCCCGGTACATCAAACCTTCTATCTCGCGCACACACAAGAACCAAACCCACCCGCCCAGAACAAAAGAAAACCAATGCATTCCGCTACTTTCCGGAGCGGGAGGCCCTGTCTCCCGGCTTGTCCACGCGAACAACCTTGACGGTGAAGAGCAGCGTCTTGTCGATGTACCCCGGGTTGCTGAGCACGAAGTCCAGCGCGCGGGTGCCCGAAAATGTGGACGGCTTCGGTCCCACCCTGTCGTGCTTCCGGTCGCCCTCGGGGTATCCGAGCTGGCAGCAACAGCGGCAAACGCGCCGGAGACGGAGGGTCCGTTCGGTTGGTTTGGGTTGTACGGGGATTGAATTTGGTATGGGTTCGTAACATAGCTCTGCCGGGATGAATGTGCCCGCCAGATTCACCGGGGTGTATTCAGAGAAGAATGACAACGGGTTGAGTATCCCATCCGTGATCACGCGACTTCACCGGCAGTAGTACAAAGTATCGGGCCAGTGGCACTATCCAACCGTCACTACCATGGACTATGGAAGGACCCCCACTCTATGAGCACCGGTTGCAAGTACAGGCGGAGCTGACTTCGGCAGTCGCCCGTCGTACCTCAGGCGGCACCACAATCTGCCGCACGCCCCCGGCTTGCATTCCCTTGATGCCCTCCTCCAGCCCCGGGATGATGGTACCGCTGCCGACCACGAAACGGGACGAGTCCTTGTCCTTGTCGAAGTCCCCCCCCTTCGGCCCCTTGTTAGTCTCGAACAGGTTTCCGTTGTACCCTGGCGTTCGTAATATGCGATGCGTTTCGTGAAATAGGTTCGGGGGGGGGGGGCTTCGGTTGTTGCGCGTGACCACTGCCTGCGCTTTCGAGGCGGCGGCGGCGTGTCATTCATCGTTCTTCTGAGCAATCCCACGCTGCAGCCACAATTTCGTACATATCTATAGCACAACTTAATCTCTCACCGATTGTGTACCCGTCCCAGTCGAAGACAACCCTGTCCCCATCCGTGACAGCCCTCCCCGCGCCGACCTTAGCGTCCTTGTACTGCAGGCCTTTGTCGAGATCTTTGAAATCTCTTCAGGGGTAAGGAGTATGTCGCGCACACACGTTGGGCGAGATGGGATGACGTGGTCGAGCACGTGCGCACGACGGGGAAACAGGGGCATTGTCAACGCACAAACATCAACAAGCGTGACGATACAAGCATGTACTATAATAGTGCAGATACATATTCAACACGCAAAGAGCATCAACACATGTGTCAGGGCTGACTCAGTGGTCTAATGGTCAAAGCGTTCTTACACAAGGTTCCACGCACGGGTTCGCTTTTACTCCATGCGGCTAGTCAGCTAAATGATATGCTCTGAGCTCGTTAGCACCCGGCCGGATCACATGGGCTTGGGAATGAGTAGAGATCTCCGGGGCCGGACCCCTCGCCAGACGACGCTGTTTGGTGAACAAATGGTGATTCTTGTGTAAGTGGACCACTGGGATTCGAACCCGTGCGCGGAACCTTGTGTAAGAACGCTTTGACCATTAGACCACTAAGTCAGCGCTGACTCTGACGACAAAGATACTACACGAAATCCTTGTGCAGATAATCGCAAGTGCCTCAGGAGAGGTACCCAAGACCACAGCAAATATTCGCCAGTAAGAGGGGGGAGTGCCCTTCGACTCGGAGTCAGGCTCAGTCCCACGCAACCAAGTGACCTGCCGTTTCAAAAGGCGCCATCTCAGACAACGGATTCCACACCAAAACAGGACATTGCGCATGCGACTCCTGAGAAGCGGTAGGGCACGATATGCGGCGTCCATAGTCGCACACAAAGCAGTGGTATTCTGGGCGCACATGTACGAAATCACCCCCTGTTCTAATGCAAAGTAACAACCTGCTGCTGCTGCTAATAGGTGTGACGCACGAGTGCATTTGGACCAATCGTCTAATTTTGGCTCTCACGGGTAGCGGATGCGCGGCTTCGCGAAGCTCTTGCTCCCCCCGCCCAGTTCCATGTAGTCGGACCCCTGAGTGTCCCCCTCCGGCAAGCGGGCTCGGGGAGGAGGCTTCGGCGCCTCGCGCGCCCCCGCCGCCGCCGCCCCGGCCACGAGTCCGGCCGCCGACATGGCGGAAGCGAGGCACTGCCGGCGGCTTACGGGCCCGTCTCCTTGAGCCTGTTGGGGGTCAATTTTTATTTTTCCGAGAAGGGGGGCGGCGGTGCCGTTGGTTGGGGGTAGAGGGTTTGTTGTCGTAGGCGGCGGCCGTGCGAGCTCTCGTGAAGGCGAACATCATGCAGGCGGCGTGTCTCGCCATGTTAGCGTGCAACGTGTAACGGAATCGTCCGTGCGGGTGAAACATGTGTCGGTTCGTGTAGCAGTACTCCTGGCGCTTGGCGCGTTGCACGATTTCCGCCTTCCAAACGTTTGAGCTGATGCGTGTATACGCTGCTGTGCTGGCTGCCGGCAGCCGCGCGTCGATCCTCATTCAAAAACTCCTCGCTCGATCGTCAGCCGGAGGCATCTACGGCGAAGTATTTGGTTTAGTCGACGTTTGTACGTCGAGGAAACGCTGAGTACACACAGCCGCATACTGTACCCCACAGGGGCGTGCATTACTGCACGAAAGTGAATAGCGTCCCTATTGAAGTAGGTCTGGACGCTTGTTGAGCAGCGGTGCCTTTAGATCGCTGACCTTCGCCTTCCCGTGGGTACACGGACGGATTGTTCAACTTGAAATCAAGAGGCGTTTCAAACGGCAACTAAACGTCAACAGTTTTTTATCACAGCGTGGTTATCTACATAGGCCAGGGCTCGCCGTTATTGAAGATTGAGATGCTCGAGGGAAAGAAGAGCACAGGTACGCCGCGTTGTCGATGCCAGCGAATTAGCGCTTGCTCTTGGTGGGTTGGGGTACAGGTTACACACAACCGTAGTGCAGTCTGCGCGCGGCGTCTAGCCACCGCATTAGACTAGTGTGTGTGAGCCAGCGCCAGCATGGACGACAAACGCGCATCCAAGCTGCGGAACAGTAAGCGTCCACCCAAAAATCGATAAAACTTAAAAACTTATGCATATTATGGTCCCTTTTGGGTCACCGCAACTTCGGTTTCTCTGGTACTTCAGTCTCCACCGCCGGCTGAGTGTGTGCTTCATGTGTCACTAAAATGTTGACTGATGCAACCCCATGTACTCTGAGAGCAGCCGTGTTCCGTAGCTGGTTTTGTGATATCCACGACACGCACTACTGCTGTGTATGCTATATGGTGGCGTCCACCAACAATGAATGGCAAAGGGTCTGTGCACTGAACACCAACAGCCACAACTGTGAGGTGTACGCGCTGCTACACAGACTCACAGCAGCAGCTGCCTTTCCCCCTTCTGAGCTCATCATGCGCAGCGAGCTCTCCTGCTGGTGATGACGGTGCGACAGCTGACTCGAAAGCGGCGCGGTGAATGCAGAGACCGACCCCACCGAAGCGGCAGCCGTCATGGCCACGCCAAGCGCTACGCACGACCGAGGCATTGCGGAAGCAAGGTTGTGGTTGTGTGCGTATACGTGTTTTTTGTGTTCGGGGTGACACAGCAGCAGCGCAGCACGCAGCACCTGAGCGGCAACACCCCAGCAGGCAACAGGCCGAGAGGCCCCGTGTGATCATCATGGAAATCTCGCCGCGTTTTTCTCGCTGTCCGACCTGCTGTAGCTTCCAGCTGTACCTTGCTGTCATTGCTCTACTGCTGTGTCAACCTGGGTCGTGTTCTCGTGCTTCCACGCAGTCAGGCAGCGTGTGCAGTTGTGCTACGTGGTCGTCCTGCCAACGGGAAATGGCTCTGCCTCTACCCCCAGGTCGAAATGACAGCAGAAGACAGGGAGTTGCTGTGCAACAACAGCAGCGAGGGGGCGGTGGTGCCGGGAACGCCAACAACGGCAACCGGAAGCGCGGATCCGTCGGCATGATGAGGGCTGTCAACTCTTGCAGAAGGTACATATGTCGTCATATTTATCTTAGAGAGCTCGAGAGTGCCAGCGCTGTACATTCACAGCACATCCTCTTCCTCATGCCTGTCTACGACACAGCGAGTTCCAACAAGGCACAAAGCTTGGATTCAGTCATGCTATTTATTGATCCCTGTCCCTGATTGTCTGTTCCCTCTGCCAAGCCGCACGCCATATTTTCGTACATCTTGAGCATATTCAAATACGCCTAACTAACACGCCGAGGTCGTCGTAGAAGCTATTTCCTTTCGGAGCTTGATCCAAACAACCGGTCACTGCCCTCTGTCGAGTCTACTGCTTAATCCCTGGCGATATCGTCGTTGGCAACCTGCTGCGACAATTGTTTCGCACCTGCGCTAACGCAAAGCCCCTGTTTGTAACTATTAATAGCGGTTCCCGGCGTGTTGCGGGGGCTGCGTTGCTGGAAACGACGGTCGTTGGTCCTTTTCATGTTGTGCTTGTGGAGAGGGCGCCCGTCTTGGTTTGGTCACAGCAAACCAGTAGGTTATGCCGCTGCCTTGAATCGTTTGCGTCTGCCGCACATCACTAATGCTGTACAACAGCAGCAGTGTCGGCTAATCTGTAGTCTAGTCTGGCGCACAGCAGTGACTAGTTCACGGCGCGGTGACCTTCCCCCAAGAGCATGTTCTCGCACAAAGTTTCCTGTACAGCACTGGTATGATGAACTTAGTAGCTGCAACAGCAGCATTGCGTGGAACAACAAGACTTGAGACTTTCCTAGCCTCTCCCCGCCCTTGTACTTGCACAGGCAGCAATGGCAGTTTCCCGTCGCCGACCCCATTGCGGCACTGTAACGGTATCGTCGCAGTCCGCCTGAGGGGGCGGTGGATGGACAGCCGAAAGGCGCTCTGCCCGCCACCAAAAGTTTGACACCTTCCTTGCAAGTGTTATTCGATCTTGGTCCCCAAGTCGGCGCCCGCGCACCGCAACTCCACCCAGCGAATACCTTCATCGCGGGGTGGCCCAAGCGCCAAACGATGGTACTTGAAACTTAGAGTAGTTGTTACAGGCCCAACGCCCCACGCGCCCCTCCCTCTTTCATTGTTCCGCCTTACCCGCGATTTCCCCCGAAAGCGTGGCTGTTTCTGACGCCATTCTCGCGGCACAATCCACGTTCGAGGGGGGGGAGTTCCAGCCAGAGGCGTTCCCCCGGTGCGTGTGTCTGCTCCTGGAGGCGTTTGAGGGCGGGGACAACGCGATCAAGCTCTCCGCAGCCCGCCTGCTGGAGAGGTGCCGGCCGTACTTCGGCGGGAACGTCCTCGCGGTTGAAGTGAGAAGAGATTTTTGTATGGCGTACATGTAGTTCAGGCTTGAGATTTTTGCCTCGTCTTTTGTCTCTTGGCAGTGTTGGCGTGTTGCTCGGGTGGTCGACAGATGGTCTTCCTAAAGTAGCTGTTGCATATCTACTGCTGTAGACTATACAAAAGGCCTTTTGCAATCATCCTTCGCCCGAAATCCAACAACCAAGCCTCGCGCATCCTCAGAGATAGAGAGTCCTCTCTCTCTCTCTCTCTCTCTCTCTCTCTCTCTCTCTCTCTCTCTCTCTCTCTCTTTTGGAAACTTCAAGACACAGGCCTTTCATAAAAGAGGGGTCATCCTCGAGGTTTCGAGCTTCGTTGCCTCTGTAAATTTGATTGTCACACGAACGACTCATAATGGTAGCTTCTTCGGTTTTATCGGGCCTTGAGGAAGAAATTGATCGCCCCGCGAAACCATAGGGACGGTTTTGTTGGAGAAGGTTCGCAGTTGCTCGAAACAGACATGTGGAACACGCCGCAACGGGCTAGCGAATGCCTAGACAGACTAAGGCGAAACCAACTCAACTACATAGATGAAGGGCGCATGGTAAAATACATGTTCACATGATATGGGGGGTCAGGCAAATCAAAACACAGCATTTTTCCTCCTCACGGTCAAAATTCCAACGAGCCTCTTCTCCCTCAAAACCACTACTCCTCTTCCTCAGAACCGCAACCCGTACCCCCCCCCCCCCCCCCCCGTCTACGCCCAAACCCTCACGATGCCTGCCCGACACTGCATGCTCTTGCAGGTCGCGCAGCGTGTTTCCCAAGTGCTTGGATACCACGATGACCCCACGACGAGAGAGCTGTGCCTTGATGTTCTCTCTGCGGTGACGTTCGGAACGGGAGGGCTTCCCCGCGGAATCCTGCTCGACATCGGCCGCTCTCTTCGAAGCCCGTTCCTCGCTGTGAGAGCTTGCTCTTTTGTCGTTGTTGCTGTTGTTGTTGTTCCTGCTGGTGCTGCGGTTGTTGTCATTCCACCTTTGTTTCCGGCGAAAAATCGGCGGGAAATGGGGCAAACAAGACGTTGTGGTATCTGTATCGGGGGCGCTTCGGCGATAGTGATCTGGAAGGCTGTCGATGTCATGCCTTTCGGCGTGCTGGCTGCTAATATGCCATCTTCGTGATACCATCGGTTGGTTACCTTCGGTGGTAAATATGTGTATACACACAGCAACGGCAGCAGGGTGTACAAAAACGTCGCCTGTTGAGGGTCATCAGTCTCCGCTGCGTACAAGAACAATATTCTGGAAACAAAAATGGCTGTCCACCTCCTCTCCCGCAGCCCGCAGTCGTGTTTCAACTTGCGCCCCCCCCCCCCCCACCCGGCAAT